AAAGTGTGACTTAAGCTTATCTTGAGTGATGTAGGTTGGTGATTGGAGCCATGGAGTGAGGATAATTGAAAAGGGTGGGATGAGTTAGTGTGATGTGAGTTGCGCTGGAGTTATGCAAGCTGGAGCACGGTGTGATAGTGTATGATTAGGATTGCATAGGCTGTCTGAGGTGGGTTGGTTTGGTGTAGTCTATATTGAGACATTTTGAGTTAATTAGTTGATGCTTTGCTGGTATTTGTTGCAGTGAATTGTGTGGTTTACCCTGTGGCATGATGGTGTAGTTTAGTGTTGTATGAAAGGGTATGATGCCCAAGTGTCGGCCAGGCTCATTTATGATCGCCTGAGGTGAGATGATGTTGTGTGCTGGTAATAATCGCGTCCTGACTGCCTTCACATGACAAGCTGTCATCAGCTCCTGTATTCCCACCAACACACACAAGCTATGCAATGTTCTGGACTGCGTACACACAGGCAGCAGTCACACAATCATACACCCTCTCTTCTCGGCTCTCCCGCGTTTCGAGCCCTCTTGTCGTGACTTGACATACTCTTGTTCTCTCTTTCGTTAAATCGTCAGTAGCGGCGGGACTCGCTTCACCTCGAACAACCAATCTCTACACTCTCCTTCGCCACTTGACCGTCTGTGCGGTGGTGAACTGTTGCCTCGAGTGTGTCTGCATAACAGTCAACCGACAGTCTTATTCGGCGAGAAGTGAAGCCACTGTTGCCAATGGCGACATTAGGACAGACGAGCACATAAACACATGCATAGATGGACACGCGCATATACTCATGTAGATGGACAGATAGGCTGGCGCATGGACAGCCTGGCATGCGGAAACACGGAAAACTGATTGGGAAGAGGACATGAGGATCCTCTCTGTTCGAGTCCGGCTGAATGGAGTAACACAGCAAGACCGAGCCACGCCGAACCCTGCTGTCTGAATGCATGGATTCGCGAGTTGGATTTCGAAATCTGAAGCTATCCTCGAGCCTGACAGCCGGATGGATAGATAGCGAGACAGATGCAACAGTGGACATACATACAGACGGAAATAAGGACGGTTGGACAGACGTAATGATGTCAATGTAGACAGATAGACAGAGAGACGGATGGACACATGGAAATATGGAAAGACGTAAATAGGGATAGACAGACAGACAGACGGAAAGAAGATAAAATGGACAGACGTTATGACGTAAATA